GGAAAGAGTAGAAAATTGGAAAATTGGGGGTCGAACCACCATCTTCCCCCGCCACACCCCCTTCTTATAGACAGTTTATTAAGTATTAATGACAGTTGTCTACCTTGTGGTAACAACATCTGTCTAATACGCATGTTTATTTGGACAGACGTTTGGTTACATAAAAAGTAGGCGTTTGAAATAAATGTTACTACCACAAGGTAGACAACTTTAATGAAGACTTAGGAAACTGTTTGTCAGAGGTGGGGGTGGTGGGGGTGGTGGACGGGAGATTTTTAACATTTTTCTGTTCCTGGGTTATTTAAAGAGTCTAAATAACAACGTTTCCCAATACTTTATTCTTTTACAAGGTATCAAGATCTACAAAAGTTATCAGAGTAATTTTGCAACCCCTTCTTTCCTCGACTACCTGGCAGGAAACTAACGTTTATGGTCCTAGGTTTAAAACCATCTTGAAGTTCTCAACACTGAAAATTAAAAATAAAAACACTGTGTAAATTAGAAGGTTAGTTTTGACATGATCCAACAAACTACACGTAATAAAAACACTAAGTCAAATCGCAAGAAAAGTAAAACCCAGAATGAGGGGATTTGAGTAACCATTTGATAAAAATTGAGCTACTTTTTAAAACTAGGTGAGAGGATTATCCTCAACTAGAAGGCAATAAAAGTTCAATTTCTCTGAATTTTCTCTTATTTCTCTCATTTTTTTTGTTTTTTTCCCATTATCGTCAGATAGCGTGCGGGAAATTCACTCTTGGTATCGAATTTGCATGTTTTTCTTGCGTTCGTACGTGATTTTTGTAATGGCTCAGCAATTTGAAATTCTCAGTAGCAAATTTTTTCAATAATCAGTGACGTATTATATCAAACAGTTTCAGTGAAATAAAGCTCTTAGAAAGCTTCCTGCGAAGTTATATGATACGACTTTGTTGAAGTCGAATTACAATTGTTTATTTACACCACAAGTTTAAAACATTGAAGGAGAACAACAAAAAACATACGCTAACGGAACAATATTTTTACACTAGCAAACGATTGGCGTGCAAACTGTGTGCTTAGCACATCGAGACAATATTTTAAAGATAATTTTTTAATACATTTATCGTTGGATAATGCTGGTTGGACTAAACGCTAACGCGAAAAAAAGTAGGAAGGTAAAATCCAACAAATTCTATCCAAGCCAAACAGCAGGGTTTGTTTTTTTGACAAATCGTCGTTCGACTCTGATTTAATTTTAGGGCTAGGATCAACCTCTCATTAGCTGGGACGTTTTAACTTCCCAGTTATGATTGAAGTGCGATCTGACCTATGGACTAATTGTCTCTAAATTGTTTCAAAGTCAATATGGTGGTTTCCTTTACAAAACAAAAGAGATGCATAATTTTCTAACCTGTAATCAAAAGTTTCACAACAACAACTCAATTACAGAGTGTAGCTTGAAACTTCCAAATCCACGTTCACATCACTAACACTTCCTCATGATTACAGCCTTACAAGAAAAATTGTCTATCTGCAAAAAAATAGTTCGAGAACAAAACCAATTAATATATTGGCTAGATTGCTACACCCTATACTTCACGGCAATTTTTCGGTATTTCTACAACAGAAATAAAAAGATAACAAGGAGGTGGAATTCAAATTAAAGGAAACAATATCCAAATCCCACTAATACGAGTCGAACCCAGGACCATCCGAATAGTTCTTCTGATGGTCTACCATTGCGTCATGGGAGATTGGTGCCAGGCCAGACTGTTTACCTTGATCTATGATCTAAATAATGTATTTTGTTGTTTTTTTAGAGGGCACGGTAACGAATCTTGCAATCTGATTGGTTCTTT